ATTAAAGAGGCATTCACAATATGTGCTCATGTTGCCATTTGGGCTGGAATGCCACCAAACACAAACAAAAGCAAAAACTATATATATCAGAATCAAAAAATATATATTTCATATACCATGATTCATACACCATGTCATTTATCTATTTAGTATATACAAGGAGTTGTGCAAACATCATCACAATCAATTTTGAGTGCTTTCATCTCTTCCCCCAAATACCGTCTTCCTCCTGAACCAATTCTCAGCCGCAGGCAACCACTAATCTCCTTCCTGTGTCTATACAAGTGCCTGTTGTAGTCGCTAAGACATGTCTGACTCCTTTGTGACGACATGGACTGTAGTCCACCAGTCTCCTCTGTCCACGGGATTCTCCAGGCGAGAATACTGGAATGGGTTGCCATTTCCTTCTCCAGGGGATCCTCTCCACCCAGGGATCAAACTCGAGTCTTCTGCATTGCAGGCAGATTCAGATTCTTTACCTCTGAGTCAAAAAGAAAGCCCCATAAATTCACCTACTTGGGACATTTCATAGAAACCGGATGATGCAATATGTGGGGTTTCTTTTTTTGCTGCACTGGATCTTTGTTACAGGGCATGGGCTTCTTCTAGTTGTGGCGCTCAGGTTTAATTGCCCTGTGGCATGTGAGATTTTAGTTCCCCAATCAGGGATGGAACAGGCATTCCCCTGCATGGGAAGGCAGATTCTTAACCACTGGACCACCAGGGAAGTCCCAAAGTGTGTTTTTCTTGCATCTGACTTTTCTCATTTAGCATTAAAGCTTCTGGGTTCATCCATGCTGTAGCAAGTAACTACCTCATTCCTTTTTATCACTGAATAATATTCCATTATTTTGATTTACCACATTTTACTTGTCCATACATCAGTTGATGGATGTTTGGATTGTTTCCACATTTTAGCCCTCATAAATAATGTTTCCATGAACATTCATTTATAAGTTTTTGTATGGACATATCTTTTGTTTTTCTCCAACTTTATTGAGATATGATTGACATATAAAAGTGTGTAAGTTTAAGAAGTATGATGCGTTGATTTAATACATGTATATATTGCAAAATTATTTCCACCTCCATCATGTCACGTAATTTTCCACCTCATCACATCACATAATTGCTGTTTCTTTTTCTGTGGTGAGTGTAAGTGTATGTTTTCATGTCACTCAGGTATATATGTAGAATTGTGAAGTCACATGGCAATTCTTTGTTTAATACTGGGTGGAACTGCCACTGTTTTCCAAAGTAGCTGTATCATTTTACATTCCCATCAAGAGTGTGGGGCAGGAGACTTCCCTGGCAGACTCTGCATTTCCACTGCAGGGGATGTGGGTTTAATCCCTGGTCAGGGAACTAAAGTTTAAAAAGAAAAAAAAAAAAAAAAGTATGTGGCAATTCCAATTTTCCCACATCTTCACCAACACTTGTTATTGTCTTTTTAAATTATGGTCATTTTAGTGGTCCTGAAGTGATGTCTCTTGTGGTTTTGATTTACATATCATTTGCATGTTGAACATCTTTTCATGTGCTCATTGGCCGTTTGTATATTTTCTTTGCAGAAAAGTCTATCAAGATCCTTTGCTCATTTTTAAAAATTGGATCATCAATCTTTTTTGAATCCTGTTTTCTTCTGTAGGAGAATGTTATTTCCTTCACAGAGTTGTGAAGATTCGTGAGAGAACACTGGCAAGGCACATAGTTTTCGGCATTCAGCAAGTGTTCTGAAAAGTTAGGGAACCTCTCTCTCACCTTGCCTCTCAGCTAGGCATTTTGCATTACATCGCCTAGCGTAGCGTTTGTGCTTGAAGCCAGACTCAATAAATGTCTGAGAGGGAAAATGTGCCAATTCACATCACTCAATATTCAGATCTGAATCCTATGTGTTTTGACTCCCTTGCTCTCATTTCCGCCATTAAACCTTTTCTTCCTGGAACAATTTTGTTAATTTTATTCCCCTTGCCAGCTGCTTCCTCTCCTAAAACTGAACTTGCAGCATCATTGACGCTAATTACAAGGGAACCAAAGACACCACCTCGCACAGTTCTGAAGTGAGTGTGATCAACCTTTGAAGAAGCTAAATAACTGACAGCCTGTCAATTTAACCTGTCCCCTGTTGGAGCGCTCACAAAAGGTAATTCAGGCACCTAAAGAGGTGAGGGGGGAAAAAAAGAAATTTATAAAGAAATCCTGATTGCAGACTGAGGATTACTTAAACCTGATTGCAGGCTGAGGATTACTTAACAGTTCAGTAACCTCTGATGACTCGGCATGCTCTGGAACATGGGTCTCTTTTTCATTTTGTAGAGGACCCGGGCGCCATCAGGCCCAAAGATTCGATGTCGGTGGAACCTCCTCTTGCGCTGTGGAGCCTCCAGTGGGCCGGACTTGAGTGTCAGAATGGAAACAATTTGACCATTCATTCAGGGAGGCTGAGTCCAACTTGATCTCACACCGAACTCAGAGCTTGCTTTGGTAAACCTCCGCTTAAGCGCCTGGGGCATAATGTGAAAGGGCGGGCATAATGTGAAAGGGCGAGCACAGATGAAAGAAGGTGTGACCCATTTCACTTTGCCCTTTCTGAAGGTCAGCCTAATATCAGATACCTGGGTGAGAATATATGGGTGTGTCGAGTTGCCTGATCGGAGGATTTGTTGGATTTTGCCCAAACACCAGGGAGGTTAAAGGGTGTGTTGGATTCAGAGGCAGGACCGTGGCCTGGGAGTCCAGGGCAGGCTTGGAGAGTCGCTGGGGTGCAGGGACCCGCTCGAATTCATCTTCGTATCATGGGTCTAACACGGTGGTCGGCTTGCTCACTTGCCGGAGCCTGGCCTCAGGAGGGAACTGGAAAGCGGCCCCAGGCGGGACATGTCGCCAGGTCGCACCCCTGAGCGTCAGGGAACTCGGTGAGGGGACGGATCTTCTGACTTGAGCCCAGTGGGCGCGGGCACCGAGAGGCGCTGGACTACAAGTTAGCCCTGTGGGCGCACACTCTGCGGAGACCCGGTCCCCGAACCCGCCCCGGGCTGCCTTCGCCGCCGAGGAGCAAGGCAAGGCCTCGCGCGGGCGGGATGTGCCAGCCTGCGCGCCTTATTGGACAAAGGCTCTTGTCAATCACTGAGGAAACCCAACGGGGTGCGACCGGATTTACCGCACTTCCCGCGTCAGAGGGAGGCGGGGAGCGACGGGAGGGCGCAGTACCCAATGGCAATCAAGGGCTCCGCCTTTCGTTATAGATTAGCAGGTGCTTGAGCCACTGAGGCACCGCAAGGGATATTGGCCCTGGAAAGTGATTGGTCCAATCTGCGGGCGTGTGGTTCCTCAGAGTATATAATGTAGGCGATTAAGTGACCGGATGAAATTGTGCCGCAGGAACCTGTGAGCATCTGGATGGACGTACAAACTTTTTCATAATAAGAAAAATGCAAATTAAAATTTTACTGAGCTAACATTCTGACCTATGAGATTGGCAGAAGTCCAAAATTCAGCAAGGTTCTCTGTTAAGGACAATGCAATGGCCCTGATGGAATCTAATTTTCTTCCTCCAGACGCTTATGGTTGTTTCCTTTTGCTTTCAGCTTGCAGAGAAGGCTATGTGTTTGTTGCACTGACTCCCAGAAACTTCTAAGAACAAGTTCTGATTCTGCAAGTACATTTTCCCTAAGGGGCTTCAATTTTCCTTATCTATAGCCATGTTGATATCTGGTAGGATATATGGGTGTCAATTGAAAATGGGTTTAAGTGGACCCTTCTGGCCACTGGTGTCCCAGTGAAGCAGATGAAGTGACAGAAATCATATAAGCAGAAGCCAGGTCTTATCTGGAAATGGCATCAAAGTCACCCAATGATGGTAGCAAGCCTGCAGTGCTTCTGTGGAGCATCAGAGGTACAGAACCTGGGCAACAGAACCACCACCCAGGAGTGTCACGTATGCTGGGCACTCAGACACTGGCTTCCAAGTCACCATCAGGTGACAGAGTGATCCTGTCTGTCTGTACCCTACCCCTTTCTCACAGAGCCCCAGTGAGGTTCAGTGACCCGCTCCACTGCATGACTATGTGCTTAGGGGACGCTGGTCCCAGCCCCAGGCATCTCAGCCAACCATGGTGGTCCCGTCTCCTTGCTAGTGATTGATGAGGGAATGGACACATGACATTCTGGCCAGTTGGTGCACCTGATTCAGGTGCCTTACTCCTTACTCCTAGAGACACAAGCAAGAAATGTACCTTTTCCTGCTTCTGAACGTGACATCTGAACTCCTGCAGCCGTCTTGCAACCATGAGGAGAGCTGGTCTGTGACAAAAGCCCACAGTGCAAGGAAGTCCAAGCTAAGAGAGTTATAGCTTGGGCCCTGACTCTTCCGGACCTGAAGCCATTCTGCTTTTGGACTCCTCTCATGCCCTGGTTCTCCTCTTGTTTAAGATAACTGAGTTGGACTTTTCAGTTCTTTGCAGTTGGAATATCTTAGCTGAACCAAGTGTAGACAATTTCCTTCAATGTACTTTTTCTGTAGTCATAAGAATTTTGACTCAAGTGCCCACAAGTCATTTGTTTGTTTGATAAAATGAGAGAAGGGCTGGAAGAAGGAGGCGAGGAAAGAGACATAAAGTGGCTACATGGCAGTGCAAGTTCTGCTGACATGCATTTAGGGCGGGAGGGAAGGTAGAAAACAACCTGGTTGTGGGGGCGGGGGGGTCCCTGGGACACGAGAGAGGAAACAAACAATACTTAAATCATAACATTTTAAAATAGCAGTGACACAAAAGATAAAAATAATATTTTAAAAAGGAAAAAAATACTGACATTTGGATATAACAACAAACACAGAGAGCAAACCCTCCTGTTGTGAACTGTCAGCAAAGAAGCTAAAGCAATTACTGTGACAGATGGGGGAAGGGGTCTGGGAAAAACTCTAAAAAGCACGAGAGGGGGAAGGAAAGTTCACTGTGTTCCCCGCGATAATGATTAAATTGAAGTTGGTAAAACGCCACTTGCTGCTTTTACTTTCATGTGTTTAGTTTTATTTCAGCAAATAAAAAATATTTTCAAGAACTTTCTTAGGTTATCCCTTTAGCGTTCCCTCCTTAACTCAGTTGGCTATGGGTTTTTCAGCCAGTGGGGTGATCAGAAGCAGCATCTGGACAGCATGAAAGAACCGCTGTTATTGTCATCACTGTGCATTCACTGACTCACAGAACTTTATTGATGCACTAAGGTGGTCCAGACACTCTTCATGAGGTCATTTTGGCATTTTTATTGAATGCTAACTGGTGAGGTTTTCTTTTCCTGCATGTGCACCTGGCTTCTCCAAAGGTCTTGATTTTTATTTGTTTGTTTATGGCTGTACCTCGCAGCTTGCAGGATCTTAGTTCCCTGACCAGGGATTAAACCCACATCCTCGGCAGTAAAAGCACCAGTTCTTAACCACTGGACCAGCAGGGAATTCTCCTCCATAGGACTTTAATGTCTCTAAAGGTAGAGACTGTGCTGCATATTTTATTTCTATTGACAGTGTCTAGCACAGGTCTAGGTGCGTGATGAGCCCTCACAGAAATCTTAATTACATATAAAGTAAGTGTCATGGTTATATAAGAGATACTATTAGAGGGCCCCAACTCTGATATCGTTGCTTTGTTCCAGGATGGAAGGTGAGTCTTTGAATCAGACTTTTTTACCTTTTTAGAGATGCTCCCCTATGGCTTGCTCCCATACAGTGACAGAAGCTTCCAGAAAGTCTTCCAAGGCAGAGGAAGGTGTAGTGTTAATAGGCTTGATACTCGGGCAGCGGGACCTGATACTCTTCCTCCTTACAGCATCCCTGAATCTTTTCCACACTGTGTGCTGGGTTGGGGGGGCCGGCAGGGTGGGGAGCTGAGGCTTCGAGCCAGCCCTTCTGGGCAGCTGCTTGCCTAGGATCTAATTTGGATCAGATGACAGTTTCAAAGGGGAACCCATGTCACAGCTGGGCCCTCCCCAGCAAACAGAAGCCAAAGGATCAGGGATGTTTTTTTCTCCTTTGAGGACAACTATCCTGACTCCTGTAACATGATATCTAAACTGCAAGATCTGAGAAACTCTGTATATGCTACATCTCTACATCTATGTACATAAGATAAAGGGAAGCCTACAAAAGTCTGAGAATAGCAAGGGCGTGGGTCCCAGGTGGGGGCAGAGTTGTGGCCCAGCTGTCGCAGCCCAGCTGTCACGGCTCAGCTCTCGCAACCCAGCTGTCACGGCGTCCTGCCAGGCGGAGGCGGCCTACATGTCGTAGAGCCGGAGCTGCTCCTGCACATCACCATCGGACATCTCGCCAAACGTCTCCTTGTTGTCCTTCATGAGCTTGAAGATGGCAGCCAGCTGTTCCTTCTGAACTCTGTCAAGAAGAAAGGATAAAGAGGAAAAAGATGCTCCCAAGCCAGGGAGAGACAGAGGCTTATGCATCCCATAGAGTCAGAATAAGGAAATGAAACAAAGACAAAACCCGCTCTTAACACAGGAGCTCTTTTGGTCTTAAAAAAAAAAAAAGGAAAGAGCCTTCTACTAACTGGGGTTCTAAGTCTTGGGGTCTGCCCTGGAGATCTGGGGACCCCAGGTTATCACTGAGGTTCTTGTGGGGACCCCAGGTTATCACTGAGGTTATGTCACTGCACTTCCTCATGGGCCTCCCTTTAATGTTGACTGCCCATCTCCTGGGGGGCGGCCACAAGGAAGGAGAGGTGTTCCACAGGTGACTGGAGAGCCTGAGAAGAGACATGTTAGAACAGCCTTTGTTTAGCAGGGGTCCCCCGCCTCCGGGATCTGATGGTCTGAGGTGGGGCTGATGTAATAATAACAGAAGTCAAGTGCACAATAAATGCAATGTACTTGAACAGCTCTGAACCCACTTCCTCCCACCCCCGGCCCTGGGCCGTGGGAAAACTGTCTTCCGTGAAACCAGTTCCTGGTGCCCAAAAGGTTGGGGGCCGCTAGGTTAGACAGCTGAGCCAAAAGTGGAGGAAGGTACAACACAACTGGCTGGGAAACAGGGGAGCATACAGATGTGTGCACAGCGTGCTTGGCCCAGGGGCAAGTGGGGGTGTGGGTCTCACTGCCCAGAGGAAGGGGCGCCTTTTTCCAGGGGCTCTGCCCCTCCTACCAGGGAGCAGGCCTGGCTGGAGGTCAGTTTTATGTCCACTGCACCTAGGCTGGGGGGCCGGGGGCTGGGAGTGATGTTCTGTCATCTCTGTGAAGCTGGGCCCTGTCAGCTGACCAGCACAGGACGCCTCCCAGCAGCGCAAGCATGAAAGGGTGGGGAGACGGCCGGCGGCCGCGGCTGCTTTCTCCTCGGTTCTGTGCTGCTGTGCTGTGCTGTCTGCCTGGCTCAGCCCTGCATGCTGGCACGGGCTCACCGCGCCGGTTTCAGGCTTCTGGGATTCCTCCCTCCACACTGTACCGGCAGATCGGCACGGGCCACCTTCAGAGGATGTCAAGCAAACAGCAGGTCTGCTCTGGTCCCTGCAGACCCACCAGGAGGCAGGGCCTCAGTACAGCCTCTGGGAACCCTGGCTTTGCAGGGCACAGCACTGCCCAGCTGGCACCTCTATCCTGCCTAGAGGGGGCTCCCAATCCATGTCTGGTCTTAGACTTGTCCTAACATATTCTTTCTGCAATAACCCCCTATCTCCAAACAGCAAGTCGTTGGTTTTCTGACTAGAGCAGCAGCTAAAAGCTGAAATACTGAAGTCCCACATCCAAGCCTCTCTCACTCACCCTAGAGAAGTTATTTCTACAATCTGCTTTCCTATCCAGAGGAGAAGGAACCTGTGGGAAGTCCGCGGTACCCTACTGCCTGAAGAAAGGAATACAATGGGTCAAGAGGCTGTGAGTTGAGCTCCTTGGATGGAATCCAGATGTACAAGTGGGCACCCCCCAAAGGAACACAAACCCTCCCATGTGTCTCTAGGATGTTGTACTTTGCTGGAGAGAAACAGGCACCAATTGAGAGAGAGAGAGCTCGAATTTTTATGGGTTCAAAAAGATATTTTTGAAAGACAAAGCAAAACGGAAATAAACACGCAGTAATCAAGACCATCTACTCAAAGTTTATTGGACCAAAGGCTGAATACAGAAATCCAAGCCATAAGGAGTACATGAGGTTTGGTGCCTGCAAGCCACATTCAGAAAGTGTCCAGACAAACTTCATAACCTGGAGAGTCACCTATTTTCTTCAATCAGACACTGGCCTGGACAATGACACCTCTTACTACCGCTGTGTGGGGCAGGGGCCGCTCACGAGAGCACATCTGCTATTTGTTACATGGTTCTGTGTGGCTCTTCCTTTGTTCCCTATTCTGTCCTTAACCCATGAACCTGAAGTACTAGACCTGGAGGAGAAGGTCCCTGGGAATGTAACATGCCCTGGAAACTGACATTGAACATTTCCCAGCCTTGCATTAGATAAAAAAAGAAATTTTCCTATAAACTTAGTGCTTTAAAAAATGTTTTAACCAATAAATCTAAAAACTGCAGATTAGTTTGGTATAGTATAAATATCGTCCAATATAAAATTCCAAGAAATGGATCTGGGACCCCATCTGATGACCTGGTGAAGTTCTAACTCATCTATGAAACCGAGGAAAAGGCAGAACTGATACATCTATTTTAAGCGAACACTATCTTTATTGCTTCTGCTAAAGTGAAGGTGAAGATGCAGCTGAGCTGGTAAGAACATGGTGAAAAGGCCTCTTGGCAACAAGAGGGCTGGATCCAAGCCTGCTCTAAGTGGAGGGTAAGGGCCAGAGGAAATCAACAGCTGGTTCTGGTGCTTTGCTGCCCACGCATCAACCATCGTCTCCCTCACCCCCCAATCCAGCCAGCTAAAGACAGAGGGGAAGCGGGCCCTAAGGGGGAGCAGGGCAGTCGACCCCCCTGAGCACCCAGTGGGGCCAGGCAGCACCCCATCATGTGTCCATCACACCTCAATGTCTCTCTTGTTTGGCTTCGGTGATGAAAAGCAGAAGGGCTGGGATGAAACTATACTGATTTTAAAATGATGGCATTGGTGACACTGGTAATATCTCAGGTGTAAAGGGTGTGTGGACAACAGGAACACTGAGTGACAAGGAAAATAAAAGTCCAGGAAAATCCTTCAGCTAAACAAAGCAATCCACGCAGACAGGGAGGAACGCTTCTGCAAGGGATCACCCCAGGCACTGTGGACCCTCCCAGCCAAGGAAAGTCCTGGAGGGGGGTCGACTCCTGGCAGATTTATGTAGGAAAATGCACCCCAGGAGCCCACTCGCTCCTCTCTGGGGCTTCCACTGTATCGCTCAAGTTTTAAGATGCCAAAAGGAAAAGCCTTTAGGAGGAGCCTAAGGATAACTTCATTATTCCTCGGTTCTGTAAAGAGAAATAAGGGGAAAAGATCATTGATTTCACTCATACCATCCTACTGCGGGAAAAGAAGGGGGGAAATAGGGTGAGGAAGGGGGACGTTTGGAATTGCAGAAGCCAGCCCAGACGCTAGGATTCAGACCCCAGGGGAGTTTGCCTCTTGTCACCTGCAGCAGGATGGCCCACTAACCAAAGCCAGCCTGAGACCCTCTGCCAGACCTACCGGGAAGAGGGTCAGGCCCCATGTGTGGGTAGTTAGGCCAAAAGGTCCCACTTGTAGGTCAGTAGGCAGATCGAGTCCTTCATGTATGTATTTAGTTCAGGTCCCACAAATGGGCAGTTAAGCAGTACCAAAGAGGGTCCCAAGTGTGGGGGACCGAGCAGGTTGGGGTCCCACACATGGGTAGTTAGGCAGGGAGGGTCCTCAATTAGGCAGTAGGGCAGATAGGGGCCCACGGGTTGGTAGTTTCGCAGCCAAGTTTCCACTTGTAGGTAGTCGGTCAGGGTGGACCTTCAGTTAGATAATTGGGCAGGCCAGGGCGCACACACTGATAGTTGAGCAGGTCAAGGGCCCAGTTGCAGGTAGTTGGCAGACTGGGACCCACACGTGGGTAATTAGGCAGGTTAGAGCCCTCACTTGAGTAGCTGGGCAGGTCGGGTCCCTTTGTGGGTAGCTGAGCGAGTTGGGGTCCACGTGTAGGTAGCTGGGCAGCTTGGGTGCTACCCGTGGGTAACTGAGCAGGTAGGGGTTGCTCACACTGGTAGCTGAGCAGGACAGGCCCTCATTCAGGTAACTGTACAGGTTGGGTCCTATAGGCAGGAGCTGGGCAGGTCGAGTTGCACAAGTAGATAGTTAGGCAGGGCAGGTCCCACTTGCAGAGTGTTGGCAGTGAGTGTCAGACTTTCGTTGGTCAGGTAGGGTCCCTCACTTAGATATTTGGGGGGTTCAGGTGCCCATGTGGGTAGCTGAGCAGGTTGAAGCCCACTTGTAGGTAGTTGGCAGGGAGGGTCCCACACTGGGTATTTGCGCAGTTTGGATCTCACATGTAGGCGGTTGAGCAGGTTGGGTCCTCAATTAGGTAGCTGGGCAGATTGGGGCTCACTTGTTTAACAGGGAGGGTCCCTTAGCAGGTAGTTGGCGGGGAGGGTCCCCCAAGTGTCAGTGAGCAGGGCAGCCGTATGTAGGTGGGTGGGCTGAGGCCTCACCTATATTTAGTTAGGCAGGTCAGACTGCGAGGGTCAGATTCTTGGCTTTGTGCCATTCTAACCTGGTCCTCTCACCAAAGATTATTTCCTGTCCCTGCTAGGTGGGTTTTGTTCCTTCTGGGGACAGTGGCTTCTAATCACATGTACTCCCCAGATGAGGCAAATGGCGTGTGCACATTTTCTAAAGGACAAGTCGAGCACTCCTTTACCCAGGTGAGCGCTGAGGGAGCCCTGGGGGAATCCAACTTTATCCCTCTGGCGCCCTCATGTGGATATGAGCCAGCACGTGTTTCTAGAAATTCATGCTGGTGGATGATTCACAGACACGTCAGGAGGTAGAGAACAGAAGATCCATTCACCCTTGCCAGTTATGCATTTCAAAACATCATCCACTAGAGTGGTGTCCACTTCCAAAAGGGTCAGGCCAGTCCTGGGGACATTCAGAATGAAGTGGGTGCTTAAGTCCCGGGTCCTGATTATCAGAGCCAGCTGGTCTACCTAATGGGTTCCAATTTTCCCTGGTCCGGAAGAAGGGAAGAAGGGAAGAAGGGATGGTGTACAAAAAAAGAGTGTCCAATGGTCCCTTTTTTTCTTTTTTTGCTGCCAAGCTAGAAGCCAGTCAAGCTCGCCAGTTTCACTAGCCTGGGGTGAGTGGCGGTGTCTTGCTGTGGGGAGCAGTCACAACCTGCAAGTCCCCCATCCCAGCCACGTTCTGAGGCTGCCTGTGGCACCTCCCAGAAGAGCTGTGGGGGGCCCCAGACTACTCTGTTGGTCGGCTTAATGAATTTAAAGTCAAGAATTTGCAGCATGGGCTTTTAACCCGCTTGCCACGTGATGGGGACCCTGAATGCCAGGAAAGGAATTAGAAACAAGCAGAGTTTGGTTGACTAGAATTTGACAGTCAAAGAAGAGCACACACTTTTCACTGGCCTGTGGTTTTGGTGGTTTGACGGTATTTTTCACCCTGACAATCCCAAGGCAGTTTTCTGAACCTAACCAGGACCAGAGCTGTCTCACTCCCATCAGCTCTACTGGTCCCCAGGGGATCTACCTCGCTGTAGATGGAAAGACAAAGCCACACTTGCCAGCCTCTGCAACCCCAAGCATCACCATGCGAGGACCATGCGAGAAGGGTGGGCGTCATGGGGCCCCGTGCAGTGCTGAGTGGGCTGACCACGTGCAGGGACCACGTGCAGCTGACCACGTGCAGGGAGACAGCAAGCAGACCCCACAGGCAGACGTGTGGGGCAGCCCCGGGAGCATGCTGGGAGGGGCGGTAATGAAAATGAACATGAACTCCAGCCCTGTCCTGGGAGGACCGTGTTCACGGGCCACTAAGTCCCCCAGTCCCTCCTTCTCAGTTTGGGCAGGGCTGTGATAACCAAGCCTGCAGGTGAGGAGGTGAGAAACCTTCACCCCAACAGCAGCACTCGGGCAGTCTCCACTCCCACAGAACAGCACTTATCTGGAGAGCCCCAAAGATCCAGCCGGGAAAGAACCACACCCCCCCGCACCGCCCCCCGGCCAACACAGAGTCTGCTCTCTGGACACCATGGAGGAAGGACTTTCCTTCTTTCTGCCCGATGTCCCAGCTTTGAACCCAGAGACGGTGGCAACCCCAGCCTGATCCTGCCATCCAGTCGGCTAACTGGCCTTTCCCTTTCTAATGGTCCCTCACATCTGCAGCAGACACAGAATAAGGCTGGGGTTCTGGCCACAGCCTCTGCCCACAGGGGCCTTCGAGGAACCCACAGGCACGTCAAGCCCCCTCCATCCTTAACGCTGGGCTGCACACCTTTTCTGGGAAGGGCCAGGTTCCGACTCTTTTAGGCTTTATGGGCCCCATGGTCCCTCTGACACTGCTCAGTTCAGCCCCTGCAGTGCAAAAGCTGCCACAGACCACAGAAAAGCAAATGAATGCAGCTGGGTTCCAATCACACTGGATTTACAAAAACAGGGCCGTAGTCCTCTGCCAACCCTTGCTCTGATCATAACCACCCGCCTGACCCACAACTTGGCACAGGGTTTCTGCTGGGCACTGTTCTTTCTTTTGTTGTTGTTCAGTCGCTAAGAGGTGCCCAACTCTTTGTGACTCCGTGGACTGCAGCACATCAGGCTTCCCTGTCCTTCACTGTCTCCCAGAGTTTGCTCAAACTCATGTCCATTGAGTCAGTGATGCCATCTAATCATCTCATCCTCTGTCGCCCCCTTCTCCCTTTGCCCTCAATCTTTTCCAGTATCAGGGTCTTTTCCAATGAGTCGGTTCTTTGTATCAGGTGGCCAAAGTATTGGAGCTTTCTTAGGGTAGGACTAAGGCTGCAGGGGTGAACACCACGTTGTCGGGAGGACAGTTTCCTCCCAGGCTCACAAGGGGGCGCTGGTCCTCCAAGCAGCTGGTTCATTAGGTCCAGGAGGGACTTGGGCCTCCAAGAATCCCTGGGCCGTGGGAAAGGGGCCTCCTGGCCCAGGAGCCCTGAGCTAGATGAGAATGAGCCGGCCCGGGTGCACAGAAATGAGTTAATCGGTTATGAAGGCGGCGGAGGAGGAGAGATTTAGATCACAGTCGTGATGGGGACAGTCACAGACAGGATGAAGGAGGCACCACTAATCTAAGAAGTCAATCTCCTTACCAAAAGGATTTGCAAGAATATTTGTGGCTCAGGACCTAAGGAACTTGCTACAGGGAAGTGAGGTCAGAAGTCAGCTCAATCCTGAAATATAAAGGCAGCAAACCGGGTCACACCCAGAGGCCGCGGCGCGTGGGCACCGAGGAGTGGGGGGATACCTCCCCCAGGCCGGGCTCACCCTGCCACCCCTCCACCCCTGGGTGAAGAGCCTTCCGGGCCAGGTTTGGAAGGATTGGCTGCAGCTCCAGGAGGGGAACGGGCTTCTCGTGGGCAGAGCCTTCTGACTCCTGAGTGATGCTGGGTGGGTTGGAAATAATAGAATCTAGACCCTGGAATAACAGAGCCTCCATTCCTGACCCTAGAATCCAGCTTGCGGCAGCCAGTGGGGAGTGATCGCCCAGCCCCTCCGGGTTACTGGGCTCAGGAAACACGCCCCCATTTGTTAATAGAGATGTGTGCCTGCACCAAAAGGACCCCAGGCCACAGGCTGGTCTGTGTCAGACCACCGGTTCTTCCCCTGACCCGTCCCCGCTGTCCCGCTGCCCCTTAGGAGGGAAGCCCATGGGTCAGCGTGGGTGTCCGGCCGGCGACGGGAGGGGGAAGAACCCAGTTCTAAAAATGAGTTGCTGCCTCAGAGCTCCATGGAGCAGAACAGATAAAAAAGGACTGCTGGCCCGGTGCTGGGGAGAGGGTGGGGATGGGGGAAGCTGGAGGGTGCTGGCGGGGTAGGGCGGGGGCGCTTGGCTGCCAGGCGGATGAGCAGAAAGAATCGTGCTCTGTCCTGAAGTGATGGATTGGTTTTGTCATGAACTCTGCGTGTACCGTGAACAGCCGGATCTGCTCCAGGCTCTTCCCAAGCATCTCGCTTTCCCCTTTTCGAGGGGGGGGGAGGGGGGGGGAGGCGGAGGGCAAGAAAGGGCTCGGCCGCCCTCCCTCCTCCGTGTCACCCGCTCCTCCAGAGTTTCCCAAGGGTACTGTTGGGGGAAATGGAGCCAGGACAGAGGGGAAAAAAACCCTAAAACGGAAATAGGGCAGTGGGGGCGTGGCTTGCGGGAGGCCCGCCTCCTCTCCCCGCTACAACAAAGGGGGCTCCCAGAGTGGCACCCGAACCCGGAAAGCTGAGCAGCCCGGAGCAGGGCCGGGCGGCCTACCTCTGTTCCTCCTCCAGCTCCTCCTTGGTCATCATCTTCTTGTACTGGTTTCCCCGCAGCTTCCCAGGGCTGTATTTGAAGGAGAAGGCCTCACCCCCTGCAGAGACGACACCCGGGAGAGCCGGTTAGCCTGCCGGGCTCTCTGGTAAATTTAGTCCCCTTTCCCTTCCTTTGTTTCCAAAGAAACACGTGGGCCAGAGAGGGCTCCCCGCTTGGAAGAGGGGCAGGCGGGGCCCCACGCCCACCCCAGGCCTGCCTCTGGAAGGATCTCCCCACATCCCTTCCACTCAGGAACCCTTGTTAGGAACCTGAACCGGGGATGAGGCACCCCCAGGCCATTTGGTTCCATCCATTCTCCCAAGGGGCCTGCCAATGCAGGAGACGCTGGTTGGATCCCTGGGTTGGGAAGATCCCCTGGAGGAGGGCATGGCAACCCACTCCAGTATTCTTGCCTGGAGAATCCCATGGACAGAGGAGCCTAGCGGGCTAACAACCCACAGGGTCGCAGAGCTGGTCACGACTGCAGCGACTTGGCCAGCACACAGGCATTCTCCCAAGACCGGGCTGGGCCTCCGAGCTGCCTGTCGGCCCCTCTTCCTCAAGGGCTCTGGCCAAACAGCTTTCCCCAGGGCTTTTCTCCCCCCGTCCTGATCCTCCCTCCCCAGTGCTGCTGTGCTCATTACACGGTCAGACAGAGGGCACTTATCTCTGGGAAGCAGGCTGTGCCCGGGCGCTGCGTTCCCTGCCTCTCCCTGGGTCCCAGGTAACAAGGACCTGCAACAGGGACCGGCGACCCTCCTGCCGAGGTCCCGGGTCTTCTGGGCTTCAGGGTGCCCACCCTGCCCTCTAGGAGTGTCATGTCAGCAGGCCCCTTCTATGCCCCTCCTCCAACCGGTGATTAAAAATCTAAAAAAAAACAAAAAACGCATCCAGCCCACAATGGGACAAGGGATGATGTGGGCTTGTCCATGGCGTGTTTAAATAGGTCATTAAAACCAGTACTTGGGGGACCTCCCTGGTGGTCCAGTGGCTAAGACTCTGAGCTCCCAATGCAGAGGGGCCTGTGTTCAATCCCTGGTCATGGAACTAGATCCCACATGCTGCAACTAAGGCCTGGCACCACCAAATAAATATATATTATATATTATATATATATATACACAATATATATATTTTGGGTTTCCCTGGTGGCTCCGAAGAATCCACCTGCAATGTGGGAGACCTGGGTTGGAGACCTGGGTTTGATCCCTGGGTTGGGAAGATCCCCTGGAGAAGGGAACAGCTACCCACTCCAGTACTCTTGCCTGGAGAATTCCATGAACTGTATTCCACGGACTGTATAGTCCATGGGGTCGCAAAGAGTTGGACACGACTGAACGACTTTCATTTTCATATATATTTTAAAGTACTTATTACTGAATGGGTGTTCCCAGGCTTGCCAAACCCAGAGCAGCCTTCCTAAGACCTTGTAGCTGCTTTGGAATGTACAGAAGGGCAGTTCTAGAGGCCTGGGAGGGTGTACCAGGGGGTCTGGGCAGAGAAAAACAGGCATGTGTGATGTGGGGAGAAGGCTGCAGGGCAGAAAAGGAAAGAGCTGTGAGCATTCTCCTGGCCAAGTGTCCAGTGGAGAGCATTCCCTTGGGAAGCAGTGCCCTTACATGGTCCTTCAGCTCAGCAGGTGAGGGGCAGACAGCCTCCGGCCAGCCTGGGGGACCGAGGCTGAACAGCTTGTCTTATCTAATTTCCGTTAATGTATAAAGAATTGAGTATGGGAAATGCAGAGACCAGCAAATCGCCTTCCCACACAGATGTCTTCTTTTTCAGTTCTGTTCTATGTCCTCAAATGTCAGGGATCTCAAACACCTCCACATCCTGCCCTGGGGCCACCCAGACGGTCTCCAGCTGGCGGTTGTCCCCAGTGATCAGACAGGCTGGCCTGGGCTCCAGGCAGGAAAGGGCTGCAGCCTCTGAGCCTCGCGTTCTCTCTGGGCCAAAGGAAGAAGGTTCTGGATGCAAATTCAGAACCCGGGGGTTGTCGTGGGGGTGGTGTTTGCTCTCACCACAACTTCGCAGGAGAATCTGGCCCCCAGGGCTGAGCACTCCCCTCACCCCACGTCTGGACAGGGATTAATTTGCTCTTCATTCATTCAGCAAATATTGATATTCAGTGAGCACTCTGCTTGGTGCTGGGGGCTTAGCAGGGAAGAAAGGATAGAGCGGGCAAAGATGAGTAATCAGAATCGCAGAGTTTGCAGTTGGTCCTGAGAGCTCTTCAGCAAAGGACAGTGGGAGGGGAGAGGAAGGTGGGCAGGGCGCTGCTTGGAAGTTTAATGGCAGGGGTACGGCTGTCAGGGAGGGCTTTTCAGGTGAAGCTGCAGGTCTGGGGAGACGGATCTAGCAAAGCAAGGAAGCCCGTGAGGCCGGGTGGCAGGAACTAGGGGACAGGGGGACATGGGATGAGCAGCCGAGGCGCCAGGGGGGGCCTTATTATATTTCTGTTAAGGTATAAAGAATTGAGTATGGGAAACGCAGAGACCAGCTGAATATTTTTTGCTCTTCACTCTGCACTTGGCTCTTCATTCATTCTGCAGTACTTGATGAGTGAATGAAGAGCACATTCTTCCTCTTGGAGAGCTGGGGCTGGGGCTTGGTGCTGAGACCGGATGGGCTGGCCCCTCTCCCTGGAGACCCCGCTCCCATCAGCTGCTCTCCCCTCAGGCTGATGAGCCAAGGGCCCGCAGCATTGGGAGCTTCCAACAGCTCAGGGCTTGGACTGTGACATCCGGGGATCTGGGAGCCAAGCTGAGCAATTCGGGGCCATCGTTTGAGGGGCCAGGGGTCTTTGGTGGTCAGGAAGAACCTGCCAAGGGGCAGAATCACATGGAGCTAGTATCAGAACGAGCTCGTGGCCATGCTGGCTTCTGGACCTCAGGAAGGGGCAACGGACAAAGAAAACTGATTAACCTCAACGTCAAGGTCATAATGTTGCTATGTTTTAGAAACATAAAGCAGAAAAATGCTGCCAGCTGGGTACTGCTGAAGGTTTCAATCGGTGGGGCGGGTCTGATGATGCTTCTCCCGAGCTGGAGAGAACAAACCACTTGAAAAGGCTTTCGCTTAATCCCATATGGTGACCGAGGGACACACAGTCACATCCAAGGCGGCTAGACCAGGGAGGGGTTCAACGTGAGAGCCCCCCGGGGAGGGGGACTTCCTCGTGCCTTGCCGTCTTCTGTGAATCCGCCCAGTCACTTAGGGAAGGCGCCTTGGCAAACACTAATTAATTAGCAAGCGGAACTGCTCACTGCAGAGGGCCTGGGGGCCTCTCCTGTGCACTTCTGACAGCTGGGGCCCTACACCTCTCCTGCCTCGGCCTCCAGAGGGCTGCCGGGAGGCGGCCTGGGGGACGGGCAAGGTCCAGGAGCAGCAGTCGAATGGGGGGGAGGGCCCCGGCAACCCTGCACACGGCTGGGTGTGGGGCGGAATGTCTGACAGTGTTCCAGAAGAGGGGTCTGTGGAGCCTCCCCTTGTCCTGGCCCCCCGGGGCCGCCAGCAGTCTCGGCTTTTGCCTTCTGCATTCCCAAATCACTAATAGGATCCAATGACGTGGCAGGGACAGGACAGCAGCGGAAGGGGAGCCCCCAGCAAGGGGCTGATGTCCACCCCCACCCAAGCCCCATCCCCCGAAGCCTTCTGCCCCACCCCCTTCCTCTAAAGCGGTCTGGATAGAAACCCAAGGCCCTTTGCTGCTGGGCCTCCTCGTGGGGGAAGCCTCCTCACACCCTCCTCCCCCAGCCCCAGCCCAACCCTGGCTGCCTGGCCCACACCACCAGCCCCGGTTACTGCATTCCTGCAGCCCTCTCTTTCTGGGGCCCCTGCCAGCTGTTGACTTAAAAATCACAACAGTCCCCCTTTTAAAAAATCTTGAAATATTTCAAATGTACACCAAAGTACAACAAGTAATAAGTCCTCCGGGTACATGCCATATAGATTTGACCAGTGCTGACATTTTGCTATTTTTGCTTCAGCTTCTTCTTCCTTTTCTCTTTAAATAAAGAAATAAAACATGACAGATCCAGCAGACGCCCCACCCTGTGTTGGGTCCCATCTGTCTGGGGCGCTGGTCCCTGTGGGTGCCCAGAGCAAACACATTGTTTCCACCCAGTTAAGTCTGAATTGGTCCATTTCCTCGAGGCTCCCAGTCACCCCGTGTCTCCTCCCCCAGCCACCTTGGATCCGATGGCCACAGAGGTCTGGCTGATCAGCTAGAGCTGCTTGGAAATCAGACGTTTCCTCTCCGGGGAACTTTAACCTGCAGAATCCAAGAGGCGGCCCTGAAAGTAACTTTAGTCTCTGTAAAATAGGTCCGAGGTATTTGAGAGAAACATGAAATGCACAAACTGAGGATGAGAAGGGAGTTAGGCACCGCAGGAAACAGAAGGTCAGTGATGGGCCATCTGTATTTGCAGACAACTCATATTGTATAGATGGGCTTCCCAGGTAGTGCTAGTGGTAAAGAACCTGCCTGCCAATGCAGGAGACATAAAAGACTCGGGTTTGATCCCTGGGCCAGGAAGATCCCCTGGAGGAGGGCATGGCAACCCACTCCAGTATTCTTGCCTGGTGAATCCCATGGACAGAGGAGCCTGGTGGGCTACAGTCCATAGGGTCACAAAGAGTCAGACACGACTGAAGTAACTCAGCGTCCATGCATGCATACTGTATAGATAGAAAAGCGATGGCCAAAAGAGCAAAGCGGATGGGCAGGGAGATGGGTGCGAAGGCGGGGGTCAGAGAGGAGATGGCTCCGACCTCAGTGTTCTCCAGATTGCATCAGCCCCAACTTCTCAGTCCTTCTCCCCCTTCTCTCCCCCTCCACCATCCAGTCCCCTTCATCCTGCCACTTGAATCCTCATCTGGGGAATCCAATGGACCACGGCAAAGCCCAGCCCCCACAGCCAGAGGCGATAATGCCGACCTCCGGGGCAGCAATGTGCAGCCTGGAGGCCGGTCCCACTCACCGTCTTCTTCCTCAGGCCCTGCCTGCGGTGGGCCCTCCTCACCGTCCAGCTCCTGCTCCTCTTCCTGCAAGACAAGGAGAAGGGTCAGTGCCCAGGCACCGGGTTTACTCTTTGATACCAGACCATCTGACCTGCCTCTTGAGAAACCTGTATACAGGTCAGGAAGCAACAGTTAGAACTGGACATGGAACAACAGACTGGTTCCAAATAGGAAAAGGAGTACATCAAGGCTGTATATTGTCACCCTGCTTATTTAACTCACATGCAGAGTACATCATGAGAAACGCTAGGCTGGAAGTAGCACAAGCTGGAACCAAGATTGTCAGGAGAAATATCAATAACCTCAGATATGCAGATGACACCACCCTTATGGCAGAAAGTGAAGAAGAACTAAAGAGCCTCTTGATGAAAGTGAAAGAGGAGAGTGAAAAAGTTGGCTTAAAACTCAACATTCAGAACACTAAGATCATGGCATCTGGTCCCATCATTTCATGGGAAATAGATGGGGAAACAGTGGAAACAGTCGCTGACTTTATTTTTCTGGGCTCCAAAATCACTGTGGATGGTAATTGCAGCCATGAAATGAAAAGACGCTTGCTCCTTGGAAGGAAAGTTATGATCAACCTAGACAGCATATTAAAAAGCAGAGAAATTGCTTTGTCAACAAAGGTCCAAAAAAAAAAAACAAAGGTCCATCTAGTCAAGGCTATGGTTTTTCCAGTAGTCATGTATGAATGTGAGAGTTGGACTAGAAAGAATTGATGCTTTTGAACTGTGGTGTTGGAGAAGATTCTTGAGAGTCCCTTGGACTGCAAGGCGATCCAAGCAGTCCATCCTAAAGGAAATCAGTCCTGGGTGTTCATTGGAAGGACTGATGCTGAAGCTGAAACTCCAATATTTTGGCCACCTGATATGGAGAGCTGACTCATTTGAAAAGACCCTGATGGTGGGAAAGCCTGGGGGGCAGGAGGGGAAGGGGACGACAGAGGATAAGATGGTTGGATGACATCACTGACACAATGGACATGGGTTTGGGTGGACTCCAGGAGTTGGTGATGGACAGGGAGGCCTGGCATGCTGCGGTTCATGGGGTCGCAAAGAGACGGACACAACTGAGCGACTGAAATGAACTGAACCGAACTGACCGTCATTCAGTGTTTGACCCCTCGGTCAAAGCAACCTGACCCCTGGATCTGTTGTTAGGAGAGATGTGTGGCAGTGATGGACAGGACATCTCAGGGAGAGGCAGGGGCCGCCCAGGGACAGCCTGATCACACACAGCACCCACACTGTCCTTTGAGCATCATTGGGAGGTCCTTCCTGAGAAGGGGCCACGGTCAACAGCAGGTGGAAACAGGGACGTCAGTGTGAGTGCCAGTTGTCCGAGATGATGGGGGGAGACTCTAGGCCAAGGACCTGTGTTTTTGACCTTGACACTTTGGCTCCTTTACCTTTTCCAAGTGGGTCAAGTGGTGGGTGCCACTTTGATAAGTGGACTGGGCAACTCCCACCTCCCACTATAGTGAGTGGAACAAAAGGCACGTGGGACTTCCCTGCTGGTCCAGTGGTTAAGCATCCACCTTCCAATGCAGGGGATGCCGGTTCAATCCCTGGTCCGGGAACTAAGATCCCACATGCTGCAGAACAACTAAGCTTGGACGTTCTGAAGCTGGTGTGCCAAAACTAGAGAGAAGTCCCTGTGTGCCACAACTAGAGAAAGCCCACATGCCTCAATAAAGAGCCAGTGCAGCCAAAAAAAAAAAAACAAACAACCAAACAAAACCCAAAAACGGCAAGAGAGGAAAGCTGGTGGGGTCTCTGGAGTCCAGGCCTTGCCGAGCATCACAGAGCAGCCCTTTTTGCGCTCACAGTCTCCATCTCTGCTTCCTCCAACCTCTTCTCCGTCCCTGACCATTTCAGATCACATTTTCCCAAAATTGGAACTCCACTTCCCTCAGCCCAGTTCTCTCCCATGGACGCACGGACAAAATAAACAGCAGGCTGGAAGGAATGTCCCGGGATGGCCTTGGTGGAGAGGAAGGAGTGACTTCAACTTGCAGGAATGTTGGAGGATGAGAGGGAGGTGGTGGAGCTGAGGGACTGAAGGGCGCGGCGAGGGGACTGAGTAAGCCCAGCGGCAGACAGGGCAGAGCCGGCAGGTGTAGGAGAGGAGAGCCAGACGTGAACGGCGGCCCCACAGGGGACGAGGCAGCACAGCTGACAAACCAGACCCAGGCCTTTAGGCTCTGAGCCCTGGGGGTCCAGCGGTCCGCCGCCTCTGCAAACTGGGCAGGCAGGCTCCCCGACAAATCAGAGCAAGCTAAGCTGGGAGACAAAGTTTGCACAAGCCCAACAGCAAGTCATGGGACTCCCCTGGTGGTCCAGTGGCTAAGACCCCATGCTCTGGGGGAAGCGGGCTCAATGCCTGGTCAGGGAACTAGATCCCACGTCCCCCAACTAAAAGATCCCATATGCTGCAACTACGACCTGGCACAGCCAAAATAATTAATTAATACTAAAAAAAAAAAGCCGGTTGTAAGTGGCAAACCCAGAAGGTTTCCCTTGGGTCTCTTTTAACTTTCTCTCTTGATGGGCCCCACAAGATGCATCTAGGAGGATCAGGTTGGGAGGCGGGAGCTGGTTCTTCTCCACTTAGCAGCTTACATGCAGCTCAGCACCATCGGGGGTTTCCCAGGTGACTCAGTGGTGAAGAATCCGGCTGCCAAGCGGGAGACACGGGTTCGATCCCTGGGTCAGAAAGATCCCCTGGAGAAGGAAATGGCAACCCACTCCAGTATTCTTGCCTGGAAAATTCCATGGACAGAGGAGCCTGGCTGGGAACAGTCCATGAGGTCGCAAAGAGTCAGACGTGACTGACACACAGACCCATACGCTCATAAATGCGGAGAAAATGTTTTCCAGAAGCACATGCAAGATGCCATTAACCGAGACTGCCTCTGGAGAGAGGAGCTGGTGGGGGTGGCCTTTCCTTCCATCTCACCCATTTCAGTATAATTTGGATTTTCTAATAATACACATGAACTGCACTTTTAAAATGCTACACAGGGATTGCTGAACAGTAAGCTTGAGGCTATTATACCTATATTTTCCTCTAAGAAAAGAAAGAAGGGAAAAAGAAAAAAAAAAAAAAGATGAATCTAAGAGCTGGAGCCCAGAAATAAGTCCAATCAAGACTAGAGAGGAGGACAATTCTTCTGTTGTGTGAGAGGGACACGAAGGTTAAAGGAAAAACAACAAAAAAGCAAGCACACTCCCTTGTGAAGGAACTCACCATCCAGGAGGAAAGATATAAACCTAGATAATTGCCATGCAAGAGGGGAAATTCAAGAACTGACGCAGACCTCTTTAGTCCAAAGGGACACAGTGTCACTTGACCTGCCAACACTCCCTTAGGGAAAGGCTGGTCTACATTTGAATTCTGCTCTTGACTTTTGAAGTGTGCTGCTTTTCAAAACTGGACTTCCCTGGCAGTTCAGTGGTTAAGACTTCATCTTCCAATGCAAGGGGTGGGGGTTCAGTCCCTGGTTGGGGACCTAAGATCCCACATGCTCCACCACCAAGAAGCCAGAACGTAAACAACAGAAGCAATACATTCAATAACACATTCAATAAAGTAACACACTCAATAAAGGCGTTAAAAATGGCCCATGCCAAAAAAAAAAAAAAAATCTAAAAAAAAACTGGCTGTGACCCATTGGTGGGTCATGAAAGCAATTTAGAGGTTGCTACTAGTATTTTAAAAATGTGCAGCCAGTGTCTTAGTGTGGTTTTAAAATTTAATAACTTTAGGAGCACAAATGCTCCAAACATATCCCAAAATGACATTTGAAAGGTTATTTACATTTAAAATATATTGATGTTTCTTATCCAAACTCATATAATACCACCGTCCAGTGGCTCTAGTTGATTTCCAGACTTTGAAAAAACATTCATGGACGGATGGTCAGTGACTAATGGGATTGCCTTTGTGATTTCAGCCCTGTGATCTTATGGGATTGGATGCACACGTGACAATTTAGATGTGACCTCAAGGGAGGTCTACCTGGTGTCTGAGGTGCCCAGAGGAGACTCCTCTAGCTGCCCTGTCTGTCTGGATTCTGCCACTTACAAAGACTTAAAATGAAAAACACAGCATTCAAATGTCAGGAAACTAAGTATAAAAGGAATTTAAATAAGTAAATACTCAACCAATGTGTTTTGTAGGTTTGTAGCATTTACATTTCTTAAGTTATTAAGACTTAAAACTGTACAAGACTTTGGGGGCACCCTGTATCCCAGAATTAAATTAAAAACAAATAGTGGTGTGTGTGTATGTGTGGTAGAGGTAGATACCGTTTTAAAAATCGTCTATGACTGTATAAACGTGGGTGCAATTTAAATAGATTTCTTATGGTGAGACTTGACGTTTGGAAAACACTGCTGAATTGGCCATTTACTCTTTCCTGCCTGCACAGAAACCCTCTTCTTTCAAAAGGTATTCCTTGAAGCCTGTGGTCCTGGTGGGAACTGCTAGACAGGCAGTCAGACCACCCCACCCCCGCCATGCCCTGTGATGGATTTGACAGGCGGATATGAACCATGGGCCCGATTTCTGCTTGGGCACAAGGAACCTCTGGTCCCAGAGCTGAGAGCTTGGGAGCTGGGGGTGACCCAGGGTCACCGGGTGGAGAGCCCCTGGCTGTGATTTGCCCCAAGGTCATTCTACCCCAGCCTCCCCTGTACGTGAACGACTAAAATTCTGGTTCCACGAAAGCTCACCTGAGCTGAATTTCTGTCACCAACAGCCAAAGTCCTGACCACTGTCACTGTCCACTCACATCCTGCTCTGCAAGCCCAGAACATCTCAAGTTCTGCCAGGAGGCTGTTGCCTGTTTGACATACCAGCTGCTCAGCAGCCGGGGATGGGGAGTGGGGGGGTTGCTCCAGGGAGGTGGTTACTTACTGGGCTTTTAGATAACAGAATAATGGAAAGGCTTCCATTATTTGAAAAAAAAAAAGAAAAGAAAAGTTAAAAAATACCTTTGAATTGCATTTTGCCCTTAG